AGCGCTTGACTTTGCACCTTGTCTAACTTTTGTAGTGTGGTTTTTTTAATCTGAACTCCATGCTGTTGACCCGTGTTCAGGGTTGGGTCATACACTTTGTTGATAAACTTTCCTAAGTATTTTTCCATTAACACCCCATGTGGTTCCATTTAGTTTTCTTAGGATAGCTATCATCCTTCTGGCTTTGGTTGCTGCCTTGCTGATGTGTTTTCTCCATGTTAACCTATCACCAAACATTACTTCAAGGGATGTGGGCTTCTTAACTTCTCTTATTGATATTCCATTTACCTGAATGATGCCTGATTTTTGTTTTGGGGAGAGGGTGAAGAAGGTGGTGCTACACTTGTCTATGTTGCTGCTGACACACCATTTGTCAGCCCATTCAGCCATTGCCTCTATGGATCTTTGTAGCAATCAAGTGGCCACTGTTAGATATTTATTTGTGCACCATAGTACAAGTTGTCAGCATGTATCGCAGCATTAATACCACAATAATACCGGGTAGTTCAGCAGTTAGTTCGTTAATATAAACCAGAAAAGTTTAGGGGACAGGACACCACTTTGGAGAACACTGTGGCACAGCAAGACTTTCTTGCTCTTCAGTCTGTCTGTCTGTACTCATGCTCTTCTGTTATACAAGTACGCTTTCACTCATCTGCACGTATTCCCATTCACTTTGTAGTTTCTCAGTTTCTTCATGAGACCTTCTTTCCAGACCTTGCCAAAGGTTCTCTCCTGCTCTGTCCAAGCCACAAGTACTAGCTTCTTTTCTTGGAACCAATCTTCAGTTTCTTGAGAGAGATAAATTGTCTGGTCCTTTATAGAGTAGCATTGTCTAAAGCCTGCCTGCTGCGGTGTGAAGATGTTCTCACTTTCCATGTACCACTGAAGCTGACAATGCATTCCATTGTTTTACAGAGACAGCTGGTAAGGCTGATTAGAGGTACTAGAACTGTCCTTTCCTCGTTTTAGGAGAGGTATTATGGTTGCTTCTCTCCATATCTGTAGAACTTGGTGAAAATCTGCAGCAGTTTTGTTTTGGCTGTCCTCCAAATCATCAGCACTGATATGAAAGAAGGAGTGATGAACAGAATTTATCCACACCAGAGTTGGATTGGAGTGTACACAGCCAAGAGAGCAGTAAGACATGGAGAAGGAGGAATATACACAGAATGCCCTACTGGTTTAAAAATCAACCAGGCTGTACCAACAGGTTCATATTCCTCCAATTGCAGAGCAGAGGCAGAAGCACTTCTGGCAGGATGTTCTTTCCCGAATGAACAACAGCACAGCAAAATATAGCAGAGTGGTCTCTCTGACTGATGCTATGTCATTCTACAAGCAATTGTTAACCCAAAAGACTCTAATTTGTAGACTTGATGTAGCAGCTGATTAACTTAGGCTTTTCAGTAGAACAATCTGTACCGCAGTGGATTCCAGGTCATTGTGGCTTGGAAGGTAATGAAAAAGTGGACAGATTGGCCAGAAGCGGCAGTGACATGGTACAACCAAATAGCGACCTAACCCACCAAGAGATGAAAACATTAATACAATCCAGTATCCAAGAAAGGTGGCTGGATACACACACACAAGATCTATCCCCAAGACTCGCTTCATCGCCTCTCTAGAGAGAGAAGCAGTGTATTATATTCAGACTAAGGACTGGGCACAACAGACTTTGTCAACATATGTTCAATTTGTTTTGGTGTAGGAAAAACTGCAACTAAAACTGCCACAGGCAGGAGTTGTGCACATCATGTACAAGTGGATCAAAGACTTTTCCAAAGCAGAGTAAGTTTCAGAATTGATGGACACATTGGCAAACTGGCAAAACTAAGTGGAGTTCCTCAGGACAGTGCGATAGCACCAATGCTGTTCCTGGTTTACATACAAGATATCACAGCAGCCTGCCACCAGCACGTTTCTAATACCCTACATGCCGATGACTTTGCAGTTTGGACAGCCTCCGAATACACTACCACAACCTCATATCTGTTACAGAAAACTGGAAAATGTAGAAGCCTGGACTGAAAAGTGGGATCTAAAGCTAAATATTTCAAAAAGCAGTGTCACTTTTATCTCTCTCCCCCCTACAAAAAAAAAAAAAAAATCAATGTCTCAATTTTAAAAAAAATCAATGTCTCAATTTAAAAAAAAAACAGCTCATACCATAGACTGACACTCCTACCACTCTCGGCGTTACACTTGATTCATGACTAAACTGGAAGTCACATGTAGAAGCAGTACAGGGGAAAGCATTCAAGAAGCTTGCTGTGTTAAAAATTTAGCGGGTACCGCATGGGGCGCTAACTCCAGAATCCTGAAACAAGTATTCACTGTACCAGTCAGACCAGTCATGGAATATGCCTCCACTGGATGGGCTGCAGCAGCCAAGACAAAAATGGAAAAACTGGACAAGATTCAGAATATGGGATTGAGGATTGTTCTAGAAGCCATGAAATCCACCCCCATCAGAGAGATAGAGAGGATACCAGATAATGAACCACTCGAACTCAGAAGACAATACAAAACTATTTTACAGTATGAGAAATTATAAAGACTTCAAAGTCACCCACTGCATTTTAAATTTAAGAGAAAACAAAAAAACAGACTGAAGCATCGGAGCCCCAACCACCTTGCTAGAGAACTGTACAGACAGCAACAAGATCTGCTTGAAAGAGATGTTGCACTGTGCGAAAAGCTTAGTCCAGAACCATTGACAAGCAAGTCAGATAAGGCAAATGTAGTCCTAAAGGTACCAGGGATCACTTCAAAAGATGCTCAGACAAATACAAAACAGAGAACCCTGGCTCTTGCAATGTTTGACAAGAAGTATCCCAACACCACTTGGACACAGGTTTTCACTGACAGCTCTGCTAAAGATGCAGTCATAAAGAGAGACTGGGGGGGGGGGGGGGGGGGGGGAATATACATTTAACACCCTAGCAGTAGAGTAGAAACTCTCTACCAGCAGGTGACACCTGCACTAACTTCACAGCTGAGACAACTACCCTTTTTTCTGCAGTCCAACATCTCATCACTGAAGAAGACAGAGAGCACACAATTATTATACTTAGTGACTCACTGTCTGTTTTCCAAGCACTATCAAGCAAGAAACAAGACAAACTAATTGCAGATCTAAGGACCAACATTGGCTTACTTTCTAAGGAAGCTGAACTGGTCTTGCAGTGGATACCAGCCCATTGTGGTATTCAAGGAAATGAGAGAGAATATGAATTGGCAAAAGCCAACCTCACCCACCACACAGCTATAAGGAAACCAAAACAGCGCTAAAGCAGTCTTTCAAGCGGGTGTGGAGAAGACAGAATGGAAATTACAGACCAGAGAGTGACAGCATAAACAAACTCAACAGGAAAGAACAAAAATAAATGTTTAGACTTCAGATAGGACATTGTGGTCTTCGAGCACACCTACACAGGATAAGCATAAAAGTGCTGCCTGTGATTGTGGAGCAGAAAGACAGACCCCTGAGCACATACTGCAGTACTGTCCTAACTTCACCCAGCAAAGACTGTGGATCTGGCCTTCAGCTGCATTGCAAGAGAAACTGGGGGGGGGGGGGGGGGGGGGGGGGGGGGGGGGGGGGGGGGGGGGGGGGGGGGGGGGGGGGGGTGGGGGGGGGGGGGGGGGGGGGGGGGGGGGGGGGGGGACCGGTGGCGACCTTAAACGCACAATCCTATTTATGACCCAAACAGAACTCAATGTTTATCATGACTGATGTAGAACGCAGAAGAAGAAGAAAAAAATAGACATATTTCCTACAGGGTCTGTGCATGGCCTCCTGATTTGTGTGGTGTGCCTTCTGGTTGGTTGCCTCCGACTTCAGCACTAAATGTTAATTATTTTGGTAAGCTAGATCGATGTACTGGAATATGGGATTGAACTATCCACCTGGACATGTGTGCACCTCTGTAAACAGGGCTGCGGTATCATACGCATCATTGACATTTGTACTTAAAACCAAACTCAGCCGACGTAGCATTGTTGTTTCTTTGACCACTACAATGCGTACAGTGCGGTCAGACGACCTTGACTACGAACTTACATCAACATAAGGGCAATCAGAAACACACAATCCAGTTTAGAAACTCTTTTACAATCTTCCTGCAATTATTATCTCATCAAAAATGCAGGTTACATTCATGGTAGACAGCTAGGTATAGGATTATTGTAAACAATTCAAGATGTGAGAACTCCAGCCATTATTTTGTTGCGTACGATGCGCACCTAATTTTAGTGCATATCCATACAGCATCTGCCATGTGATGATGTTTACTGTGATCGCTCTTACTCATGAGGGTCCCTGTATACTCATGAAAGTGCCTGTTTTACTCTTGAAAAATCATTACCACATCTCTTGGCAACTACTTTGTTTCTTCTTCTTTTGGCTTTTAAACTCAACTTCATTAGCTGTCTCTCTTTACTAGCACTACATGTTGGTTAGTTTTGATTCCAGTCCTAGACACTCATGCCTGAGTTGTTACTTGTCTCTCTTTGTCAATTAACACTGGACATAATCATGAAACAATCTGTATTAACCCTTATTTCTTTGCCTCCATCCCTTCTTTTTTTCTCTCTTTCTTTCTTTCAGTCACAAAAAAAACACAGATGAGGACAAAAATGTGCATCAAATTTATCAAGTGACATCATGTTACATTCCTTATTTCATGAAACATGCAGCAAGACAGGCTACTAAATCAACTGATGTGGACGGATGTATTGTCGGTGGCGGACCTAGTTTTCAACTCATGTCAAGGAAATGCAGAACCTATTAATAATATTCAAGTCTATACAGATAAAAACTTTAATGCTCTAAGATTCAACAAACAGAACATATCTTTATCAAGTAACTCAATCGAAACAAGTCAAGAAAGGTTGGTTTAAAATCAGGAACAACAGACTAAGAAATGAATGATGCTGTCACCATATCACTGTCACTTGCGGCACACACTGGACTCAATCATTCAGTCAACAATATCTCACTTGGGTTCAGCATCCAGCTTTATGTTAGACAATGATCCTGCAACATTCCTCTCCTTGACAGTCTGCTAGGACAAACAAAAATCATCTGTTATGGCATAGTGCCTCCTCAAACCCTGGAGGATGTAATAGTGAAACTAGAACATGTCAATGACAATTGTCTTCTATTTTCTGTCTGTCCAAAATTTGTAAGCATCAACTGCTAGGGGTCTAACTAGTGCGTTTACTGAACAGAATCAATAATTTGACTGTATCATCATCATGTAACAGTTTCTTTGTGGAACATCACTTTCATCATGGCACAGAAAATCCACTCCGTTTTTTGCCTGTTTTCCTGTTTCATAAACACTGTCCCTCAATACTGCTTCTTCTTTTCATTTGACTAAATACATGTTTTTATTTTTCTCTACATCTGTTTTCTGCAAGGGGTGTAACTAGCAACATCTTTTCAGCTGATCAGAAATTATTATTAGGACCCCATTTAATAAAAGAGGTTGAAACGAATCATTTGTAAAGAGAAGTCTGTGTTCAACATTGTTATGAGATTCTTCAAGCTGATGCCATTTGGTAAATGTCAGCACTGATCTATGCAGAGTAACCTGTTTTCAAACTTGTGAACACAAGATGGCTCAGCTCTATTTAAAGTACAAGATAAGACAATGTTCTGCTAAAAGTATTTAAAGCTAGGTACTGCATGGCTCATATACAGATGCAAGAGACAGGCTCAGATGATGTGACAATTATTGAGGACGCTGAAAAGAGCGTGTGGCAAACCGGTGAAAGGTTCAGATGGCAGAAAAAAATCAGAGATAATAAACGTATCAATGCTGACTCTAGTCAGCAACTTAACATTTCCAAATACTATTAATTAATCAAGATCTCTTGATACTCACTTGTTCTGTTCTCTCTAGTATTGGTGAAATTGGTGGAGACACTGGCTGCTGGGTGAGATAAAAGACACAATGAAGGAAACTTCTAAAATTACACATATTTCTACAGACATAGCATTTGAATTTAAACTGAAAAAAAAAAAATTCTTTTCATTCATTTCTTTATGTACATGAAGTATTTCACATCAAGATATTCAGCTCTCTAAACCAGAAGTCAGCGTGTCTGACCAGCTTATATAATGTTCATCCACACAGATTCCACAAACTTGGGCAAAGTTCTATCTACCATCAGTAGTTGTTTTTTTCTTTGACAATGCTGCCAGAAGATGACCTATTGATCTACTGTATGCCGTTTCCAACTGTGTGGTATCGTTATGTGCGCCCGCCACTTGCCCACACCATTTCTGTTCTTACACAGAAAGGTTGGGGGGTAAAAGTTCATTTGGAAAGAGAGTAAAGGATACGTGATGAACTGTGTAAAGTATTCCATGTGTGGACTGGTCCCCACTTAGCACCAGACAGTCAACAGAACCTCACGACCACGCCTCCCTTGTGCAAATATTTCACATTTGATGAATTTTGTCCTATACAACTTTAGCAGGAGCCATAGTGGTGTAGCAGCTAGATATTCAGAGAATCGTGGATTTGAATCCGCATTGAGTCAGATTTTTTTTCTTTCACAAATGACCTCTGCCTCCCATGCTGAGTCTAAAAAGGATACCAGGTAAAGTCTGGGAAGTAAAGACGGCTGGGGTGATGTTGACCATGTTATCTTTTGAGGGCCGTTATGTCTATACAAATATGAGTCCGGCATTGTATGCCTGTTATACCACTGGTGTCAAAATGGTCCTTTACTGACCTGACCTTAGCAGAGGCTACTATAATTAAAGAACTGCAGTAATATACAGTGGGAGACCCGGGTTTAATCCTCAGTAAGAGATGAAGATTTTATTTATGCTGGGGCGGGGGGTGGGGGAGGGTGCCATAAAAAATATACAATCCGAATCCACACAGTTTGTGGTGACTGCACTAGACATACAGCCTAAATGCTCAGACTTTCCTGCCCTCCCTTATACTGCCATAAAAGTGGTAAAGAGAGCGATTAGTATACCTGCTTACTCAAACAAATGGACCAGGTTCAATCTCTCGCATAATCAGGATTCTATATTTCCATCCATTACGGTTAAAGGGTTGATCCAGCACCAAATTAGGTAAACTGTCAAATGTTATGGGAAAGACAAATGATGAGGAAAGAAACTGGTCACCACAGTTTTAAGTGGAGAATATCTGAAGGCCTAATATACCACATCCCAATAGCACTGTCTGCCTTGGGACCACCCTTACAGGTTAAATTAAGATTGCTCAATGAATCACTTAAGCTGCTGCTTATCAGGTAATGCATGAATTTTGTTTTAATAAAAAGTCTCCAACACAACACAGTTACATCCAACATACATTATCGGAGAAAGAAAAAAGTATGAACCATTCGTCCACAAGTCTTTCTGTCAATACCTTGAGCATATTACTCTGCCAGCCCGTACACTGCTTCCTGTTGGAATCCAAGGCACTGTCTGAATCATGCTGATCTTGCAGGAACTTTTGCTGCAGCTTCTGCTTGTCCAGCAGGTCCAGGAGCCTCTGCCTAGCTTCCTCCTGCTGCCTGTTTAGTTCTGCTAGCTGAGCTTGCATTAAACTTTGCAGAATGGGATCATTCAAAGCTTCATCCACTGCCAGCTGAAACAAATATACATTCCCATCTACAGAAGAACTATTAAATTATTCAGATCTCCCTCTGGTGTATCGTAACCGTGTAATAGTAGAGGGGGTTGTGTATCCCAATGACCCTAAGAGCTGTGCCGACGGTAGCTCAGCTACTGGTAGGATCTCCCATGCCTGACAGCTCCAAGGAGAGGAACAAGACGAAGAGAGACACGCCCTAAATTTCATGATGTCACAAATGAAAATATATAACGATATGGTGCTAATCTCGTGGAGCCCTGCAAGGCAGAGATAGTAGCGGGCCCCTTGCCTCAAAGGGAAGCATCCAACACTACTGATGGGCACCTACTTATGTGCTGTGAAGTCAAGGCACTGCGAATTAGGGTAAAAATTTTTGACCAAATATCAAGGACTCTCAATATACTACAGTGGAATGCTAAAGGAGACTCAAATTTTTTTTTTTAAACTGTCTCAAACAAACCGTCTGCATAAAGACAAAACTGATGTGGGATGCATCCAAGAGACACACCTCAATGCTCATCACAGACTTTCTGTCAGAGGTTATCAAGCTATACGCTGTGACCGAGAATGGCACAAGGGAGGAGTTCTAATACTTAATAAGAACTCAATACCAAGCAGTGAAGTACTTGTAAACTCAAAAAACAAATCAGAAATTGTAGGCATTAATATCGTGATAAAGGAGGAGAAAATCAGAATATACAACTTATACAGCCCAGCAAATAAAGACCTTGCATTTTCAAGAATGGAAATAAATGACACAAACTGCATTGTAGTTGGAGACTTTAATAGTCGCTCAGAAAGATGGGGATACCCAGATACTGACACCAGAGGAGATGGAGTGGAGGACTGGGAAATAGACTCCAATCTTCATTTAATCAACAAACCAGAAGACACACACAGCTTCTACTCTAGAATATAGTGTAAATCTTCCACGCCTGACTTAGCCTTCTGCATGGGAGACATTCTTCACAAAAATGATCGCAATGTACTATATCAGTTAGCAGGCAGCGATCACAGACCAGTGAAGCTTGTTGTAAAAAAAATGGATTATGCCCCACAGGAGCAGAACACATTGCCTTGATGGAATTACAAACCAGCTGATTGAGATAAATTTGCTTTCTTGACAGACAAGTAAGGTAAAAACAAAGCAATGCCGCAGGCAGCATATGAGTGCATTCCAAGAGGTGTGAGGAAAATTTACAAACCATAATGGACTAAAGAACTACATACAGATCCTGGAGGGAAAAGTCGAAGAGGCCAGAAAGATAGCAGAGAGAGAGAACAAACAACAGAAGCAAACATTTCACTAAAAGTCATCTAAGCAAAATTCAAAAGAACAAATCAAACAACTAGAAATATCTGGCAAGAAAAAACAGAAAGCCTGAACTTGGAAAAAGATGGAAATAAATTGTGGAAACTAGTAAAACCATGAAAGATGAAGGGCCTAGTAACAAACAAATAACTATTAAACAGGGTAACAACATACTAACAGGAAAAAAGGCTACATATACACTGATGGAATACTATGCTAGTGCAAATCACATTTATTTTTTGTCACTTCCCGTGTTTCCCAGTTTAGGTGTCTGGGAATGTTCACTCTGTGAGTCATTTCAGCACATTTGTGTTTCTCTGCCTTCAAGCTAAACTGCTGCACTACATGTTTTCCTATTTTTTTTCAGTAGTCTGTTTTAACCTAATTTTGGTGCATTTCACATTATCAACACACATGATCTGACCAGTCTATGTGGCGAATTATAAAACTGAGGCGGGGTGCTGGGTTTTTTCTACAATGCACCACTAATCCAAACAGTAAACTAAACAAACTGGATGGTCCACATTAGACTTGGTGGCCTGTTGTTATTCGCAGTACTGGGCGGCATTATGGGGACCAACCCTGTATCTTTACAAAAAAATATTCTTATATCCAGCAGGCCATGAAAATCGTTTGCTTCAATATAATAAACAAAATCTACACGCTACATATGATAATCGGCTCTACTGGCATATTTGTGTATATTTTACACAATATAGTAAAATACTTGCTGATTAAGAAAGCAAAGTCCTAACTTTATAGAACTTTGTTGCAAAATTCATTCAATTATGAACTTGTCTATTAAAGGCTTCACTTGAGTTGGCTGAGGGATTATGCTCCATTGGAAGATAGAAAGCAGAAGAAGAATGTAGTAAAAGCAAGCACAATTATTATAAATAAGCCCCAGAACTTATTCAAAAAGAGTTTGAAGGATAATGTTATTGTCAAGTGGCACAATACAGTGTGAGTGTAGATACAATATATCAACAAGAGCCAATTACACCAATAACAGTCATAAGAAACTGGAAGAGTACCTCTTGTTGCTGCTGACTGCTGTCTCCAAACTTTGCTGCATCAGGCACACTATGCACAGAATGGCCAGTGCTGACTTTATTTACAGTCCTCACTCCTTGCTCACTGACAGAACTGTTGACTGCAGCTTGGCTAACAGACAGACCTGAGGCCAAGGCAAAATTCAGGTTACTTTGTACTAGTGGCACTGGTCTGGGCACACTGACTGTGTTCATGACAGGTGGAGTCTGTGTCAGACGTGGTGGATCAGCAGAGTAGCTTGTTCCCTCACTGGCAGCCTGGCTGACTAAGGATGTCTGGCATTCTGAAGCAACAGATGGCCAATAATCAGTGCATTTAAACATGAACAGGAATTAAAAATGGGAGAACACATAACTGAAACACTTGAGGTGAAAAATGTTAGATCTGACTGATATCTGTGATAAAGCACTAACATATGCAGCCGGCAAGTCTCCATGAAGTAATCTGGTAATCTTAGTTTCAGCTTCATAGCAAATGGGTCACCCCACAGTTGCTCCGCTCCTGTGCCAACGAAAAACACATAAAATGTTTATCACAGTTCAAATGAAATCGGCAGCTCACAGTGTTACGCCATGCACCAAACTCAGAAGCTGGGTAACGAAACATTTAACAGGTTTTCTCTAAGTGTGTGTCCTGTCCGTGGCAGTGACTTTTCCCCCACCTCCTGATTCACTGACCTTTATTTTGTTCTCTCAATGAGCCGTAAACTGTTATCCTATCCTATCATATTAGTCTCTTCTGCACAAGCACCGGTGACTGAATGTTTTCTGAATGTTAGTAATACAGTAAGCCTTCAAACAAATTACAATCTATTTTTTAGTCTACTGCGTCATTAGATCTCATTTAGCCTGAACTTTCAAAACTGTTCTTCTTCTTCTTCGAGCTCACCAGCTGTAAACTCTGGTGGAAAGTTCTGGTTGTCCATCCACTTTAGAACTGCAGTCCTGTTCCAAAACCTGAGTGTTGCGCGTGCATCCATTTTACAGATCTGACTCATTTGTGTGCAGACTGCTGGTTCCTTGATTCTCAGGCAGATGCACTCCGACTTCGAAGGAAGCTCCCAATTAGTCGACTCTTATGACATGCTTTTGGGTAGGCAGTGGGTCTATTCTTGTCCTCACCCCTTCCCCCCATAATAGGGCCCTGAAACCCATACGGGGGAAAACTGTTCTATTTTGCTCTGTTTTTCCTCCGCCAAGTTAAGTAGGAAATAAAGTTAAATGTTAACCTTGTTGAATTCACATTATTTGGGTACAAGAACTAGGAATTACTGTTTTTAACATAAACGTTACTTGATGCAGTCACTCGACAATCGCAACCATTGTGTCTAAAACCAGCTTATATATTTACCAACAGATTAGTGCAATAATATGATAAATTTACAGTATTGTAATTTAATATTAATGAATGTTTTCCTGTTCTTTAAAACATATCCAGTACAAGTAACATCACAATTAAAATTTGCAGATAAATGGGTGTCACCCAAGAGGGGGCAGGCAGACATGCTTAGTTAAACTAAACACTAAGGAAAGCAAGATTTTTTACGTTTAAACCAGTGGTAGTTGGTTGGAAGACGTTTCAAGGGGGAGTGTCAAGCAATTTTTGAAATCAAGTGCTTCTGTACTTGAAATGACCTATTATACTAACAAATTTGGCAAATTTCCAGTTTAATTGTAGATAAAATATATTTTAAAACTATTTATAAAACAACAAGCTAAGGATGTTTTTGTTTTCGCAAGCAATGTTTGTACATCAACAGCCCAAAATCTAATTAATATAATGATAAGATGTGCACTGTGCTAAAGAAAAAAACTGTATAAAGATGGCTACATTAAGTTTGGTTTTACAGTGTAGTTAGACAGACAGTAAGGGCAAGCAACAACCTCAATGTGTTGTCTATCTTTCTGTTCACAGTAATACAATGAGACCTGTACATTTGAAAAGACATTTACAGTCATGAAAACAAAACAGCGTTGCCATCTTGATGTGGAGAGTGATTTTCATTGTGCCTTGTCCAACATCAGACCAAAAATAGCAGACATTATCAAGACAAAACAGCACCAACCATCACATTGATATTTTGACACTAAATTAGCAGTTTCTATTGCTATTTGACACACTGATTTATGTGGATGCTTTTCTCCACACTCTTGTTAACAGCGCTTAGGATTTTTCATTTTGTTTTCTCATGTTTTAAATACATGTTGTTATGTTGGGTGGGGGTGTGGGTGCTCTTGTCATATATTCAAGAGGGGCACCACCTGGAAAAAAGGTTGGAGAGACTAATGGTTTTAAGTTACAACACTTGTTGGTTCATTAAATGTACATCTCAAAGTATTTTTGTGCTTACGTAAAGGCTGCCGTCCAGAGACAGCATTGGACTGAACCCTGGTCTTCCTAACTGGTGGTGACAAGAGGACAGCTGCTGGAACTGGCCCAGACTTCAAGTGTGTGGGCAGTGGGTGATAGATGCTGGACTCCAGGTCTGACTGTGTGCTACCATCTGGGATACATACGTACATTACTATAAATAAATGGTCACTCAGGGAAATACTAAACAGAATAATCACTGGGTTTAAATCAGCCAAGCCACTTAAAGAAAACTTCAGCTAGAAAATAGCGTCTGTCATGTGTTTAAAGAGCCACTGAGGTGGTAAGTGGACAATAACTGACCTAGGCTTCCAGGCCACTCAGCCTAAAACATGTGCCAGGAAATGTCTGATGAGATACAAGTAACCAGTCTCATACTCCTCACATTACCCACAGAGTGTTGATTGCTCTATTCAAATATTAGGTCAGCACTACACACCTAGGAGCCGCCGTTGTGTAGTGGCTAGACACTCACCTGCCGATCCGAAGGTTGTGGGCTCAGGTCCTCTTTGAGCTGAACTTCTTTTTTCCAAAATGATCTTGGCTTCCAGGTCGACTCAGCCTTAAAGGGTACAGGTTCAGTCCTGGGAAGTAAAGGTGGCCGGCGTGATACTGACCCCATCACCCTCCTAGTGCCTGTTGGTCTATAAAATACAGGTGTAGCCCTATATGCCAAAAGGCATGGAAAAGGGTGCTTTTTTTTACTGTTACTTACTTACTTACAACATACCTAATATACTTTAAGGCATGGAAGAGGCTTCTTCAATTCTGTTCTTTATCTTTTACAGAATTAAACACAAATTTCAAACTTGAGAGCCACAAGAAGGTGAATATTAGAAAATACAGCAAATTCAGGAGCAGTGGTTGGCACACCTGTCTGCTGAGTCAAATGTCATGTATGCCAAATGCACCAAAAACGTTTCAAACAAGGTAGTGTTTGCCCAGCAGAAACAAAGACTCACAGAACTAGTGAAAGACAGGCCAATTACAGAATCATAAAGAAGTGCTCATTAAGTATTACAAAGTGGTTACCAAAACACAAGACAGCCTAGATTCACTGCAAGTTTTGTCTAACATTTGTGCAGAATTTACCATCTTGCAGTGGTGTGGACATCTGAAATGTTGCTGGCTGTTTACAGACCATGTCAGCTGATTCATAATGACCCTGGTGCTGGTGTGAAGGCTTCTCTTGTTCCTCTTTGGTTTGGCTCACAATGGATGATCTTTTCCCACTTCCGGTGACCAAACGCTGTAGTTCCACGAGCTGGTTCTAAAGGAGAAAGTTTTATACCATGATCTGAACACGGTTAAACAATTACATATCTACCTAACTGTACGGTTTTTTCGCAGCTGATTTTTCAATCAATTCCACATTTAGGAAAAATAAAAATACTATTGTTGGTTTATACCATATAAAGGTGACAGTTTAAAGCTTCTGTTCCAGGAAAACAAGAACCAGTTTCAATAGTGCCTAAACTGAATTGCAAAGTGGCTGTGTGCATGTCCAACCATGTTCCTCACATGGATCTACCCACTCAATTAATCAGTTGCTGTCTCCAGTCAAGGTTGGCAGCAATGGATTTCCAAGTGCTGCTTCTCTTGTCTTTATCACTCTCTTATAGTGCTGTTTGTCCATCTCTTAATATTGTTCTCCCACATGTATCACTGTCTACTTCTTGCTCTCTTGCCCTCGACATTTACCTCCAGTATGGTTTTGAAAAGAGTGTTATGTCTTTTAATGTGACTAAAATATTTCAATTGTCTCTTTCTTAATTATTTCAGTTAATTCTCTTTTTTCATTTGTAGTCTTTCCAGAACCACTCTATTTGTTTATTTTTGTTTGAAATTCGACCTATTCTTCTGTACATTTATATTTCCAGAGACTCAATTTGATTTTTTAGTTGCTTGTTCATTGTCCAGGCTTCTGCACCATACAGCAGGGTTGAGTATAGGTAACATTTAATGATTCTCATTTTTTAATGTGTTGTTTAAAATGCGGATTAGTGAGCCATGACAGTGCAGTAGTTAGCATACTTCCCTCCCAGGCCAAGCAGTCAGAGGTGCAAATCCCCAGAGATGAATTTTTCAAAACTACCATAGGTTCCCTGGTCGACCCAGACTAAAATGGGTAGCAAGAAATGTCCTGAGAAGAAAAGGCAGCTGGCATGATACTGATCACAATACCCATCAAGTATCAATCTGTCTTAAAAAATGTGCAGGTTAAATATGTAAAACAGTACCTTTTGTTTTAAAAATACATAACAGACTTTTAAAGTTTCTTTTCCTGGTTAGTTGGTTTATGAATGATCTCCACAAAAATCATGAAAAGCAACAAAGTGCAGCTAGATTATGGTCCTACAAGCTTGCACTTTCTATGTGTGCAAGGCACGGGAAAACAAACTGTGATCATATATATTTTTACATGTAAAAACACAGCACAAAGTCTTTAAATTAGTAATTTACTAGAGTGTATTATGCAGAGGTTGGAACTCATGTTGCACGACTTGGACTCGAGTCCAACTCGTCGTGTAATTAACGGCTTATGACTGAACTTAGGGGTTTTGTTCAGTAAATCTTGACTCGACTTGCGATTAGTAGCTTTGACGACTTGGTATGACTTGTTCTTCAAGGCTTATCACTCAGAGGTTTTGTGGACAATATCTTCTTATAAAATAGGGCAAAATCAATTATGTTTGGATTTATAAAGCTTTCAAATTTGACTTATTCTACTTTTATATATGGTTAGTGAATTTTGTGCACTGCCATTTCCAGTTTTGGCCAATTGTGGCTGATCCATGAGTAAAACCCCCCCCCCCCCCCCCCCCCTATGCATGACTTGCACAAGACTTGAAACATGAAGTGTTCTGATTCAGGACTCAACTTGGAAGCATTCTTGGTGACTTGAGACTTGACTTGAGGCTTGGTGGCAATGATTTGCGCTTGAAGGGTGGTGACTTAGTCTAAGCTCTGGTGTTATGACATATGACAGGGAACTAAACACTAATGTAGAATCACTGGGAGGGAACTGATCAACATGATTATAAGATACTGCTAATGGTTACCAACGAGCAACCTGAAAACACGAAAGAATTATCTTAGGGATTTAATATCACACACAAAACAAAGCCATAGATAACTTTGCTGTCTTCAATTCAAATATAAAATAACTACATGTGAAATGTGCTCTCTCCGCAAATTCACTAACAACACTAGACGGGACAGGGTTAAAATACCAGCATTTAGAGAGAAAGATGAAATAAGCCCACTATTGGATTATATTGACAAAGAATGAAATGGTGCAGCCATCTAGTGAGAATGCATATTAGACTTTTTACTGTAGAACATCAGAGAGGAAGGCGAGAGGAAAACCAAGAAAGAGATGAATAAGTGGTGTAGGTAAAACCTGCAAAAAGATAAACAAATCTCAAGCCACCAGAGAAGTGCAAGACAAATACAGAAAATCATGACACTGGGCTAAAACCCGATATCAGTGAGAGGACAAAAGAAAGAAGAAAAAAAAAAGAAGTAGAATTCAAATACAAAAACCTGTGCAGCACAGTTAATTTAAGTTTAAAACAAAAAAACTTACATTTGCGGATGCTAATTTAGCTTCTGTGCTGTCTCTATAATGCTTACTTTCCCAGTACAACTTCTGATACTCCTCTCTTGTTACTATAAGATCCTGAAACAAGCAGAATCATCACAGAAATAAAACCAACACCTTGATCTAAAACATTCAGCAAAGCTGTCTCTGATTCACTGGGATTTGTTTAGTTTGCCTCATAAGCTCCATACTGATGATTCTGCCATACATTCATTCAATCTGTTTTGCACAGGTACACAAGAATTAATGTTTGCAGTTTATTAGCAATTGTTGTAGTCTTTTTCTGTATTTTTGATTAACAAAGCAGTAAAGACTTGATGTTAAACATTCTATGTTAAGTCCTAAATTTAATTTAATTTATTTCCAAAAACCTCCTATTTCAAATATCTGCTTTTTTACATTCATAGTCATCTCTGTTTGCTTCCACATATTATCACACTGGCATTATCTTTGTCTTTCACCAATGAATTGGTGTGACCTATCTATCAAATAAAAAACATTATTTGTGTTGTTTTGTGCAAGGTTTTGTGCTTCCACATTTGATTCAGCTTTTTAGTCACATTTCACTGGAATTCAAAATGTGTTTAATGTATCTTGTATCTGCTTTCATGCAACAGACAAGATGGCACTGTCATGGGTGAAATCCAGACTGCAAACAATATCAGTGTCATGCTGTAGTCATCATAATGAATGCTCCACTGACTAACCTGAAGCTTCATCAATATCTAGTTTCCCATGGGACACTTTCCATCATAAAAAAACCAACGTGTATGTGTACAGCAGACTATCTCCATCATCAGAGCCATCAGTACTGATAGAAAATATGTCCAAACGTTAAATGTACAGGTCTTTTTCCTCCATGCAACAGATGTGTTTTTATTTTTCCTGTCCTGATTGTGTCCTGGGGAGTGCAATGAACACAAGACACCAGGCTTATCCCTCATTACTCTCGGCAGAAACAAGCAGCAGCAGATTACTAACTGTAGATCTGGATTAGATCTGAAGTGAAAGCATCAATGATTGCTGTATTCAACTGTTTGCAATAATGAACTACAAATGAGCACACTTTTTATGGCTGCATGAATTATGGTATAAAATTTACTTACTGTTGCAAGTGCGTCAATGACCGTTCTCAGCTGGCAGACATCTTGGGTCAGATGTTCACGTAAGGTAGATTCTGTCTGCACTCGCAGTTCCATCTGAGCAGAGTCAAGCACCACAACAATTGTCACAATAGTTTGCATGCTAGTAAGTCCACAGATTGATAGTCAGTAAGAAACCCTACAATTTTCTAGTCACAATTTAAGATTATAATTAATTGCTCACAACAAGCAAACACATTTTGTCACTGAATATTTGCAGATCTGCCCTCCATAGTCAGTTTTATTCATCTACTATCCTTGTGTGGGAAGTTCACTGGCTTGCCTGCCAGCCTAAAGGGTTCAAACACAATAAGGAATTTTTAATTGTTTAACTGACTTGAGTTCTCTGGTTCGCCTGGTGTAAAATGAGTTCTATGACAAATCTGGGAAGTAAAGGTGGCCAGCATGATGCAGACCACATTATCCATTCAGCACCAGTTGGTCTATAAAAAAAATGGGCTTAACATCATATGCCTGATAAGCCAGTGGCATGTAAATGGTTCTTTACTTATCTAACCTTGCTGTCTGTCCACATCTTCAGCCTAACTCTTTTATGACAACATTTTTTCTGGGGTTTGGACAGCATTAATTGTTAGCTGAATTGTTTTACTGCAACATGACAAAGCTAAAACCTTCCTGAAGAAAAAGTACGGACATATAATTGATAAAATTAAAGAAAAATGAGTGCAGATGAAATCTAACGTTTTTAAGTAACAGTACTACACAAACAAAATTATTAAAATCCTGCAACATTCAAGGACTTTAGACACATATGAAGATTATTTACACATAAAATGTTGCGCTTATTTTTTACTTGATCAAAATACTGCTATCTATTTCTAAGAATTCACATGCCTCCTCTGTTTAATTATGCATCAGCTAGTCTTTTTAGAAACACTTAATTTAAATACTTTGGATTTTATGACGATTTTTGCATGACATGTAAAATTTCACAACAAACGAATTCTTGAAACAGCTGATCGAAACAGGGATGATCCGACTGAAATATTTTGTTCAACCTTATCTGAACCTTAATTATTGGCAATAGGTTCGGCACATGCATTATCAGTCACAATGTCAAAACTTTTGTCCCTATCAGGCTTAGATTCATCAGCGACAGAGTAGTATGAACTGTTCTAGACCTTTTCCCTTATCATTTGGTCTGGAGAAATCACATCAAAATTAAATCACATCTAATTAATTAAAAACTATATCAAAAAGTTCAAACAGTTAAAAAATTAACAACAAAAATAGCAATCTCCTATTAACAGGGCTGAACCCAAACATTGTATCCATCAACTCTGTGATACTGACATGTCATTTATATTGGCAGCAGGTTGGTGCTCTTTGAGGCTTAAATGTCTTTCATTTTCTTTGTGTCATTAATAACAGAGATACACCCAGTACATTATAAACATGTTGGTGTGTCTTGTGATTTCAACTAGCTACCTCAAAACCCAACCAGATAAAGCAATCACTAACCTCTCTAAGGTATCGAGTAAGGCGAGACACAGCAGATACTAAAGTCACAGTATAGCCTGAAAATGTTTCCGTTTTGTGAGCTGCTTTCTGTGGATATCGACCGGTTTCATTTTCATATTCAGCCATCTCATTTTCCAACTCTTGCAAAACCTGGTGGTAGCAAACATACAATGAAAGTTATCAAGTGAAACATATGTTCAGAACATCATTGACATTGAATGTTATCTGGTAACCATTGCACAGGAACAGAAGTGATCAACAACTTGTGTGCTACAACACAAATACTGACCTGTCTCATGTCATTAACATTAGAAGTAGTGTTGATGCTCTCCGAGGATGTGTTCTGAGACTGTAACACTTTTTTGCTTCTCTTGATTTTCTTTGTGTCATTCATTGCTGAAGGAGGTGTCCGTTCACTGGGCAGATGCTGGGTTTCTTTAGGTGGTGTCCGCAAATCTGCTGCTGGCTTGGCTAAAAAGTAGAGACAACAAATTCCCAGTGAATCACCTTTCAGTAGTTAATACTGCTGCAGTCAGTCTTATATACCAATGTTTGTGGCTATGGGTCTAACTGATGAAGTAATCAGACTGTCTGCTTCAACCTCAAAAGGTGGGTCCATTTTTGGATGGCATCATTCAGTTTATGAGTACAGTTAGTTCAGAGATCTCTGGAGCTACTGAGTTTGTGCTTTGTTTGCAGGCCAGAAGCCAAGTCAAATGGGATGAAACCTGCTGCTAAGAATTTGATTCTTGCCTTTAAATCGTTTTAAAACTCTTATAGATTCAAAATACAACATCTGAATTCACAAAGAAAACAATTAAAGTGGTGAAATTGAATTGCTGTTATGTGGCTCTTGCCCCAATGTAAAGCAGTTTTAACAACAAACAAACAAAACGAAACATACAATTAAAACCAGTAATAAGCAATACCAAAATTAATTATCCTGTCTTGGGGCTGAGTGATCTTGAAGCATGGCATCCGCCTCAAGTGCTGGAGGTCCCAGGTTCAAACCCCAGTGAAGGCTGGGATTTTTTCACGTAATTTCCCCTGGTCTCTGGATAGTAAGATCGGATGTCCGTGTGTATTGTTGCGCGTGTAAAAAAATCCCTTGGCAGTTGAAAATTGAAAACAGTAGCCTGACAGCGCTGTCCAGTCAAAATTTGGAGTTACAAATCCACCCAAAGTATTTCCGGATCCTCGCCGGAGCTACGGAGTTCGTACGCTGCACTGAGATTCTTCAGACTCAGGCTTGAGTTAGAAGTAGAATGAAGCACTTATGAGTTATGGGTTACTACCTCTGTGCCGTGATGTTCATTCGTTGTATAAACCAAATCAAATATCCTGTCTTAACCATCTAGCTATCTTCTTTTACCCCACCAGGACATCACACAAGCGATAAACACCCAATGACACAAAGTGCCACCATGTTGATGAGGATCACCCGTGGAGAGGTCCCAGAAACCGTATTCAGCCATTAGACCACATTTAGAAGCCAGAGTAGGGCTTCGAATAATGAAAAACTGCATCCCAAAAAGGGATGACAAGATTACAGTATAACTCCGGCCTTAAAGCTTTGCAAAATATTCAGACTACTTCACTGGAAGCTTAATCTTGCCTTGTGTTTTATTTACCCTGACAAGTATAGAAGCCTGGGATCAGAACACTCGCTAATACCATTCAGTCCTTTATGATTTAAATTTATTAATGCAAGCAACTCCACTGTCAACACACCAGCTACAAGTTTAGTCACCTGCATTCATAAATTGTGTGCCTTACTGTCTGCACTAGAAGAAACAGTTATTTTTATAACTGGTATTTCGGTAAAATTTACGCTGGTCTCCCCATCAGTATTTGACCCTTCAATCATGCTTCTGAGGACGTGTCTACATCAGGGGGGTCTCACACTTTTCAACTTCGTGAGACAAGGTTGAATACCCTAACAAGGCCTCATTCATATGTAAACCGCTGATGTAAATTGTGGCACCCCCCTGATGCAGACGCATTCTCGGAAGCATGAATGAAGGGTAAATGCTGCGTGATGGGGAGACCAGTGTAAATTTTACTGAAGAATCTATGTAAATTGTCAGCGAATTAGATTTTCTCTTCTTTTTTAAACAAGTCCTTGCTTGTCTCCAACTCCTTAACAGCAGAAAATTAACTGAATAACACAGCCATGGTGGCACAGTGGCTAGCATGCTTTTCTGTCAGCGGGAAAATGTTCAGGATCACTATGAGGTGGAGATATTTTCACTGACCTAAGCTCCCAGGTTAAACAAGTCTGAAACAGGTAGCAGAACATTTTCTATAAAAGGCAAAATAGGGACAGTAAAAAGAAAGAAAACTGACAGCGAAATAAATCCTCCTAGAATCAGGACATTAGGAGATATTCTGTAACAATCTACTACATGTTCCTCTAAGTACAGAAGACAGTTATTTAAAAAAATGGTCTTTGCAAACATCTCTCTAGACATAGGCAACAGTTACTTCTGAGAGACAGCTTAACAGTCAACTCTGTGCTAGGCAGCTCCATACAAATATAAACACTGGTTACAGCAGAAAGCTGTGATGATGCAGGTCATTTACAGAAACTACACCTGTTTTTGTTGTCTGAATCACAAGCAAGACCTGTTTACTGACCACACATAACAGGTGAGCATAGTCTACTAAAACAGTGCACTGAGCCTGCAGTAAAGCATTCAGACAAACCTGTTAACATTCCCAAGAGCAAAGCCAGTTTGCTGGGATCAGGAAGACCCAGCTGATCACCCTGTCCTCTATCACTGTGGTCCAACAGAGTTTTCAGCAGAGGAAGCACACAAGCTGGACCCTGTTTTCCAGCATCAGCATGTGTGTCCATGCTGGTGTTGACTTCAGGGATGTTTCTGGACATGTTGTTGTTGACATTGGTCTTGCTGTGCTCATGTGCAGGCAGGCGTGTGGTCTTGCTTTTCTCTTCTTTCAAGTAATCCTCAAAGTGTTGCAAGTTGATTTTGGATTCATAGGAAATAGGGTGTGGACAATGAATCTGGTCATCTGTACGAATGACAATTTAAAATTGCAAAATATATTTAATCCATTTCTAAAATAATAACAATGGAAGCAAGAATAACAATCATGCAAGCAGGAAATATCTGCTAACAAACAATGGCAGTTTAATGTCTTGTATTGGTACCATATATGGCAAATTTACCTGTTTGACATCACATAGTGATATATAACGTAGAAGCAGACATGTTTTATATTGTCTGCTCAATAAGTTAGCAACTACACAACCTAGATACAGTCAGACAATACAGATAGAATGCAGTGAAATTGTATATAATGGCCTAGAAAAAAACACATTTTTACCACTTTTGATATGACTGCGGTAAAAGAGGAAGGGAAGAAGAAGAAGAAGATATGACTGCAATCTTCCTTACCAGCTTATTAAAACATGCAGTTTGTATCATGATACAGATCATGAAAATCATGTATGAACTATGCCCACATTAAATATGTTCAATGTCAAGGATGAACAGTGCTTATCTTAAATATGTAAAAAATCAAGTATGAAATGTGCCCAACTTAAATATGTTGAAAGTCAACTATGTACAGTACCCAACTTAAATATTTAAAAAGTCAAGTATGTATTGCGCACACATTAAATATGTTGAATGTCAAATTTGAACTGTGCCCACACTAAATATATTGAAAGTTAAGTATGTACTGTGCCCAGCCTTAATATGTTGAAAGTCAAGTATGTACTGTGCACAACTTAAATATGTTGAAAGTCAAATATGTACTGTATCGATCTTAAATATGTTGAAAGTCAAGTATGTACTGTGCCCATCTCAAATATGTTGAAAATCAAGTATGTACTGTGCCCATCTTAAATATGTTGAAAGTCAAGTATGTACTGTGCCCGCTCAAATATGTTGAAAGTCAAGTATGTACTGTGCCCATCTTAAATATGTTGAAAGTCAAGGATATGCTGTGTTCACAACAAACATATTGGAAGTCTAGTCTGTACCATAATACAGATGTACTAACTGATGAAGTTGAAAAGTGGTTAAACAGCCAACTCAATATAAAGCACCAGGAGCAAACAGATTACCATCAGAAATCATCCAAGCACCCAGAGAAAGCAGCATCAGGATGGCTTCACACAATCTTCAATACAGCAGACGTCCAACTAACTCCTCTCACTGAATGGCAAATTGCAAAAGTTCTGCTATTGTAGAAGAACAAAGGGAAGCTAGCGAGAATGCAGACATTACTGAGGCATCTCTCCCTCAAGTCATGTGGGAAAATGTGTTTTAAGATAATATAAACGAGACTAAGAACAGTGATAGAATCACAGCTGGCAGAAGAATGGATGGGCTTTAGAAGAAAAGAAGCTGCACATATGCAACCTTCACACTTAATCCTTTCGGTTGGTAAAATTTACTTTAAACAAAAAAATTCTTACAATTTCATCAAAAAAAAAAAAAAAAAAAGGTAAAGAAACTTTTTCACAACTGTGGGTATACAGTGCTAAACCAATTACTATAGTTCAATCAGCAATCTGTGGGTGGTGTGGTCAGCATCATGCTGGCCGTCTTTACTTCCAGGACTTTACCTGGTACCTATTCTAGGCTGGCTCGACCCAGGAACCAAGATCATTCTTTTCCAAAGTCCGATTCTGTTAGGACCTGAGTCACGACCTTCATATCCACAGGCGAGGTCTAGCCGCTACATCACAGTGGTACCCGTTAAAAAGAAACACATTGTTATAATTATCTTAAATCAGCTACCCTAAGAAACTAGAGGAAGAGAAGAAGCAGAATATGGAGACTTGGTCAGTTATAATAAAAATCCAGGGGTTGGAAACTATGACCACTGACCAGATAGGCAAGCCTGCTAGTTACTGAATCACTGCGGCCTCCAAGTCACCAAAAAGATAGATTATTCATAGTCAAATATTTACTGTGCTCCCAACAGACTTATCAGAAGTCTAGTCTCTATGCTAACTGTGACTGTTCCATTACATACATAAAGATGATGCTGTGTTCCTGTAATATAAAGAAATTAAATGTACCTTTATTTTAGGAGATTTCCTATCTTCATCTTCAGGCTAAAAAAATTATACATGAAAATAGAATACATCATACAAAATAAAGCATCTATAACTCACTGAAGTTGCCATTGTAAACAACAGAATGAAAAACATGTATAATAGACATCAGAAAGAAACGGACAATATTCTCTGTGCATGGCACTTCAAGAACTTTATAATCAACTGAGAAGATTGGTAATAACTGCAGCAGAAGATTGGTGAAAAATTATGGCAAAGAAAAACAAGAAGAATATTCTTCTTCGGGATTCCTGAAAGGGAAGAACTTATTTGGCCTGGATTTTTAAAAACATTAAACTGGTGCCGTCTCCACAATAAAGGATTGTGGCAGTTGGAAATATGATGTGGTGAAGCCCCAATTTCTTTCACAGTCTGACTCTCATACCATTGGCCAACAGCTCTGAGGACAGTTTTTTTTTAAAAATAAACCAGCCACCTCAAAAACTGAGCCATGGTACATTAGGAATTGTGAAATTTGACCTGGATTATATTTATCGTAATCTACAGAACATACACACGTACCAGGTTTTACATGCTATACTGATTAATCAACTTTTCTATTCAAGAGAAATGTTCTTTTTACCTGAATCAGATGTAGTATCCAAATCATCATTGAGCGCAGACTGATCCATCAGTGAGTCACTGAGTTTCTCCGTCCGTGTGTAGATATCTGTTATAGGTGCAACCAAGCTGTTTTTTTTTTTCAACCATACAAGAGAACATGGACATGTTAACAAATATTTCTCTAATATATTACAAGAAAAGTATTTAATGAATATTTATGTGGACTGTTATTCAGAACTGCCGTACAACTGCGGGTAAATAGTCTTGTTAATCATATTCAGAAGGTTATGTCAGCTGATGTCGGCAGCAGACGTGGGCAAGTTTTATCAATGTGCAGTTGGATAATTTACTGAATGCAATATCTCTCTACCTTTATTCCTAAATCTATTATAGTTGCTACTGTAGTGGGTATATTAACTATCAACACTGTCACATGCACTATGCAGCGGTAAATTCACTCCAGCTTTTACAGATACAATGTTTCAGTATATGCTAATCACTCATGCTATATTCACCTATACAGAACTACAAATATCTAATCACTGCTCACTAATACCTGGGGGTATACATTCATTTTGGCTCATCTAAAAAAAAACAATCTTGACAGGATAACAACTCATACTCAAATCACGCTCATACCTCGCTGATTCTCAAACAGGCTTCATTCATAACCAGCACAGCATAAATGAGACGGTCCACTCTTATGGCATAAGCTACACCACCCCAAGAATCCTTCACAACTGTGATCCTCTTTCCTAAGATCCACAGTTTCATCCAACACCCCGGTCCAGGTAGCCACCACCAACAGTTGCTGTTAAATCTGAAGCTATAACTCCACCTCTGAGACCCACTGGGAGGCACTCAGCTGTATTGTATATCATGCTGACTTTTTTCTTTCTTTCTTTCTTTCTTTCTTTCTTTCTTTCTTTCTTTCTTTCTTTCTTTCTTTCTTTCTTTCTTTCTTTCTTTCTTTCTTTCTTTCTTTCTTTCTTTCTTTCTTTCTTTCTTTCTTTCTTTCTTTCTTTCTTTCTTTCTTTCTTTCTTTCTTTCTTTCTTTCTTTCTTTCTTTCTTTCTTTCTTTCTTTCTTTCTCTCTTTCTTTCATTCTTTCTCTCTTTTCTCTACTTCTGGAATGCCTCACAACGTCAGGGTAAGAAGAGATCTCTGGAAAGGCCCTTCTGTTCGCTTCGTATACTGTCCCTTTCATTCTAGTCGGTTCATGAGATCTCTTCATTTTGTATGAGCACTACAGAAAGCCACTGCCGGTCTGCTGGACCAGTCACGGTGTTTTAAAACTTCCTAGAAGGTCACATTTGAACTAGACTATCACATTCAGACTTGTTTAACACAACTTTCACTCTAGGATGTTCAAAACTTATCCCACCATGCAGACCATCTCTCTGAAGTGATGCTTCACATGTGGTGGCGGCCCCTAAATGTAACTGCTTGATAAAAGTACTATGCTTGTGAAATATCTAACTATTCATCCAACTCTACTGAAGACTATCAATTTAAATGGAATACTAAAATAATGACACACTAACAATAAAATACAAAAATTGCTGCTAAGGAAAACAAAATGCTAAAATGTCGCCATCGCAGAATATCACAATAAAAACTAAATAACACCTAGCTCTAACACCCTTCTGTCCATTACCAAAGTTCAACCGCATCTCCCCTGTCTTTGTTTACCTCTACCCCTGAACCAGCACGATCAAGTCACAGTCAATTTCTCATGTCTGGTTTGAGTTGTGCTAACTCATTATAACCTAATTGCTACTGTACGATCAATATTGGGTAACTTTTGTTTAGTCAACTGACTATTCGGTCTGCTTACACATCCATGAAACAGAACTTTAGGAAGCAAAAGAGTCCAAATCTGTCTTGGCAAAAATGTTACCATAATTCTGAGAGTCTCAGGGCTGCAGTGGTTGTTTCTAAAAGCATTCCCACATTAGGAGGTTTGTACCCAGTGAGATAATCCAACAACAATCTTAAATAAAACCATTCCCACATTAGGAGGTTTGTACCCAGTAAAATAATCCAACAACAATCTTAAATAAAACCATTCCCACATTAGGAGGTTTGTACCCAGTAAAATAATCCAACAACAATCTTAAATAAAACCATTCCCACATTAGGAGGTTTGTACCCAGTAAAATAATCCAACAACAATCTTAAATAAAACCATTCCCACATTAGGAGGTTTGTACCCAGTAAAATAATCCAACAACAATCTTAAATAAAACCATTCCCACATTAGGAGGTTTGTACCCAGTAAAATAATCCAACAACAATCTTAAATAAAACCATTCCCACATTAGGAGGTTTGTACCCAGTAAAATAATCCAAGCGGCGTCTGTGGCTAAGGCGTTGCGAGTCCGACTCGTAAGCCAGCATACCGCGATCGAAACCTGCGTGGGCTGCGTGGATTTTTATCGTGGTATGGGACGTCGCAGGTCGACCCAGCCTAAAATGGGTACCAGGATGGGCTGTCCTGGGAAAGTAAAGACAGCCGGCGTAATGCTGACCACATTACCCACAGAGTGATGATGGTCTGTAAAAATATGGGACGCTCTGCCCATATGCCCGATGCGCCGAAAGGCGCGAAAAGGGAACTTTACTTTTTCTTTTCTTTTTTAAATAATCCAACAACAATCTTAAATAAAACCATTCCCACATTAGGAGGTTTGTACCCAGTAAAATAATCCAACAACAATCTTAAATAAAACCATTCCCACATTAGGAGGTTTGTACCCAGTAAGATAATCCAACAACAATCTTAAATAAAACCATTCCCACATTAGGAGGTTTGTACCCAGTAAGATAATCCAACAACAACCTTAAATAAAACCATTCCCACATTAGGAGGTTTGTACCCAGTAAGATAATCCAACAACAATCTTAAATAAAACCATTCCCACATTAGGAGGTTTGTACCCAGTAAAATAATCCAACAACAATCTTAAATAAAACCATTCCCACATTAGGAGGTTTGTACCCAGTAAAATAATCCAACAACAATCTTAAATAAAACCATTCCCACATTAGGAGGTTTGTACCCAGTAAAATAATCCAACAACAATCTTAAATAAAACCATTCCCACATTAGGAGGTTTGTACCCAGTAAGATAATCCAACAACAATCTTAAATAAAACCATTCCCACATTAGGAGAAAGATGGTGGCTGCTTTTCGTCACTATTCTCTGACCTGCTCATTTACTTGTCTCACAATTTATAAAATCAAAATGACACATGTTCACAGAAACAGATGAATATATTTTTATGGACTCTTTTCCATGCCTTCATGCGTATTGGGCATACAGGGCTAGACCTATATGTTATAGACCAATCGGCACTTGGTGGGTGATGTGGTCAACATCCCGCCGGCCACTTTTATCTCCCAGGACTTGAACCTAGTACCCACTCAATGCTGGGTCGACCAGGGAGCTAAGGTCCTTTTTTGGGGGAAAAAAAATTTACGGCGCTGTCAGGATTCAAACCCATGGCCTTCAAATACGCAGTGAGCATCTAGCCGATTTATAACGGTAGCTCTAGAACACATTTGTGCTCAAGATAAGATGATACATGTCAACAGCTACAAATTAATCTTTGTTCAAGATAAGATGATACATGTCAACTGCTACAGATGATCATCTCTGCTCAAGACATCATGATATGTGCTAGAGTTACAGATGAACTCATCTCTGTTCAAGACAAAATGATACATGTCAACTGCTACAGATTAACTCATCTCTGCTCAAGATAAGATGATACATGTCAACAGCTACAAATTAATCTTTGTTCAAGATAAGATGATACATGTCAACTGCTACAGATTAACTCATCTCTGCTCAAGATAAGATGATACATGTCAACAGCTACAAATTAATCTTTGTTCAAGATAGGATGATACATGTCAACTGCTACAGATTAACTCATCTCTGCTCAAGATAAGATGATACATGTCAACAGCTACAAAATAATCTTTGTTCAAGATAAGATGATACATGTCAACTGCTACAGATTAACTCATCTCTGCTCAAGATAAGATGATACATGTCAACAGCTACAAATTAATCTTTGTTCAAGATAAGATGATACATGTCAACAGCTACAAATTAATCTTTGTTCAAGATAAGATGATACATGTCAACTGCTACAGATTAACTCATCTCTGCTCAAGATAAGATGATACATGTCAACAGCTACAAATTAATCTTTGTTCAAGATAAGATGATACATGTCAACTGCTACAGATGAACTCATCTCTGTTCAAGACAAAATGATACATGCCAACAGCTACAAATTAATCTTTGTTCAAGAATGAGACTGAATTTATCCAACTGTACAAACCTGTTATGATCACCACCATTAGGTGCTGTTGTCACATTCGGAAATCCCATAAATCTCTGGGTAAACAAAACAAGCATTACTTGTTAGAATCAAATGTTTTTTAAACTCACATGTAAACTGACAAAACTAGCAAACCAGATGTGAATTCATATGTGTGTTCACCTTACAGGCAGGTCAAATATATACTAATAAGAACAGTTTCTCAGATATCTTGTTATTTTTTTAAAATTTACCATCACCCTAAGAAGCCATAAAACAGGATGGTTCAAATCCCCCATAAACACCACATTAACTTGTTCATGAGAAGCTAACAGAATTGGATTCACTTGTGCCTGCCTAAATGTTTAGGTGGACTGAAATTGATTATATGTACTAAAAAAAAAAGCACTTACAGGTGTTCCCTTGTGAACAAATGGTTTTTTCTAAATATAAATAATGACATTATAATTTCCCATGAAGACCAAGACCGAGTCAACATTTAAAGAGGATAGTGGGTTCATTCTCTGCTGCAAGGTTCAAAGAGTTTACAGCTGGTGAGCACAAAGAAAAAGAAGTCACAAAATATGACAGAGTAAACAGCTTCTCTTGTTAAAATTTGTTTTTCTCAAAATGTCATAAATGGCAGTGTCATAAATTGCAACACACTGGCCACAACATGAAAGATTGAGTAAATGTTGTGAATTCAGTTTGATGATCTCACAGAGATGATTTAATTAACATTTATTAGACATAAGCAGTTTATATAGATTTTTTATAATGCAGCAGCTAGTCACAAAATGTTTACAAATTATTTTTTTTTTAAACGTATAAACTAAAATATTGATTTATAAATTGAATAAAATGAGAATTTTAGACATTGAGGCATGTTGGCTGACAAACATCTGTCACTAAACAATCAGAAAAATCCAGGAAAATACAGCAGTAGTGCAAATGTAACTTAGGCAAGTATTGATATCAAGATATGGACCATGTCTATGTCTAATGTCCAGTAACACTTACCTTTGGGTCATCACCAAACAGATCTTTTACCACAGCCATCATAGTGTCAGATTTGGACAGAACTTGCTGCAACTGTTGGAGACAATCGTCACAGTTAAAGCAGCTATCAGCTTCAGTTCCTTAACCGGTTCCCCTCTTTTTCAAAAGATTACATCAAAGATAACTACACAAAATGTATGACTTTATATACTCAAAAGATCCATAACACAACATAAGTATGAGAATCTCATAATTAGAAATACATATATAATATGAATAGAAAATGCTTCAAAACAGCTATAATGTTGAAACTCTGACAATCTGATCTTATAACATACAATCCAGATCTGCCACAACAGGGGCACCAAAATTATGAACATCAGGCCTTCAACTAACTCTGTACATTCTCAATTCTTCAGCGGAGGAATGGGAAGACAGAGAAAGAAGAAAGTCAGGCATTCAGTTGAACTACTTGTAGTATGACGATGAAGATAGCACCTGTCCACGGGGTACTTGTATCGCTAGTGGAGCAGAAAGCAACTCACACACTGACAGTGACAGATTCAATGAGGATGCTTAACTCTTTCAGGCCTGAGCAACGCTGTGTGTGTTGACTGAGAAGTTCCTATTTCACCAAACCACATAGTCTGCTCGATTGTGTGACATGTAAATACTGATTTGCATACTATTCTGTATTAGTTTTTAATGTTTGGAACTACCATTAAAATATTCAGGGAAGGTTACTCTAATATTTGTAGTTTGTTTACAGGTATTTGTCCATACATTTATTCGTAAATGTTTCTGATTCCTTGCTAGCCTCATTTTCAGGCAGTGAATTTTCTGATTTCATCTTTGGCTGGCCATGAAGACCAATGTTCAGTACACAAGCACAGGCCATAAACATGTCTTTACGTGGCTGAAGCTCAAAAATTGTGTCAGTGAGATGTTTCTAATTCTGATAACGATAATAAACACTTCATTTTTTTCAGAAAGTGGTTCGGACAGTGAATCTGCACCAGCCGCAGATCAGTGGTCAGCTGTTAGAGAATCTAGCAGTTTGGATAAGCTAGTCCAAGAGGACCCATTTCATTTGCAAAGGATGTTGTAGTCACCCATGTCTGCATCCAAAGGACTGTTTCACATAGTACCATACTATGGTTAAGCTGCACTGAATACACTGCAGCCACAGTATGTATATAACTGTACAAAGTAAATATTGTGTTCGTAATGGACCATTTTTGCTTTAAAATTTTATTCAGTACTTTATGAGAACCTAGAGCTTCTGAGTGATAAACTAATCCAGAAACTTACCATAACTTTTGAATTTCAAAGTCTGTAAAAATTCATGGGCCAGAAAGAGTTAAGAAGAACCAAACTGACAAACCCTGACTAGAATAAGTTGATGGCAACCAGAACACTCACCTCAAGAAACTATCTTGGTTGTACACACCATGAAACATTGGGGCGAAAGGAAGTGAAAGATATGACAGACTGGCCATGTCCTCGGTAGTTAGTGGAAGAAGAAGTATAGACACTTCAGATTAACTAAAGGGATTGCATTCCAGAGACACTGAGACAAAGGAGACAGTGATGACAAACCACCTGTTGGAAATGTTTATTAAATGACAAACATGCTGAAACAGGACATGGGGCAAAGAGAGAAGATATGTCAACTAATTCAATTTGGAATTTTGAGCATGGAGACACTAAAACGGCAGCTGCATCGCAGGATGGAGCATGGAGATACTGAAACGGCTGCTGCATCAGAGGACGGAGCATGGAGACACTGAAACGGCTTCTGCATCAGAAGATGGCGCATGGAGATACTGAAACGGCTGCTGCATCAGAGGATGGAGCATTGAGATACTGAAACGGCTGCTGCATCAGAGGATGGAGCATGGAGACAGAGAAACGGCTGCTGCATCAGAGGATGGAGCATGGAGACAATGAAACAGCTGCTGCATCAGAGGATGGAGCATGGAGACAATGAAACAGCTGCTGCATCAGAGGATGGAGCATGGAGACACTGAAATGGCTGCTGCATCAGAGGATGGAGCATGGAGACACTGAAACGGCTGCTGCATCAGAGGATGGAGCATTGAGATACTGAAATGGCTGCTGCATCAGAGGATGGAGCATGGAGACAGAGAAACGGCTGCTGCATCAGAGGATAGAGCATGGAGATACTGAAATGGCTGCTGCATCAGAGGATGGAGCACGGAGATACTGAAATGGCTGCTGCATCAGAGGATGGAGCATGGAGATACTGAAATGGCTGCTGCATCAGAGGACGGAGCATGGAGACACTGAAACGCCTGCTGCATCAAAGGACGAAGCATGGAGATAATGAAACAGCTGCTTGATCAGAGGAAGGTGCATGGAGACACTGAAACGGCCGCTGCATCAGAGAACGGAGCATGGAGACACTGAAACGGCTGCTGCAGCGGAGGATGGAGTGTGCTTGCATAAGACTGATGTTCTAGGATGTCGATATGGACAAGTAATTAACTCCTCCTAATCTTCCCTCACTATAGTATAGAAGATACTAAACACTGGTGAAGTGTACATAGCATCAAATAAAAATCACCTTTCACAAACACTATCAGAGAACATGCAACAGGTATTGATACAGACATTATCCGACAAAGCTGTTGTTGTGTTACAAACCACATTGTTTAAGTTGTTTGCCAATATTTTGGGGAGCCACAGTAATAGCTTGGGTTTGAATCCACACTGTAGCACAATTTTTTTTCCAAACAGACACTGGCTTCTACGTCAACTAAAACTGCTGTCCGGTAATGTACTGTGAAGTAAACAAGGCCAGCAAAATAATTACCACACACCCACCAAGTGCTAACTGGTTTATATGCCTGGCATCATATATCATACGTGCTACTGGCATAAATAGAGCCTTGAGTTTACTACTTACTTTTCCATATTTGTTTAGAGCAATCAGCAGTACTGAATAGCTCTCAAGTATCTCCCAGTACCAGAACACTGATTCTCTCAATGAATGAATCATACATGATCAGATGGTGCTCTTTGGGAAATACTTGTTTTAGATCAACCTCAGATCTGCATTATCAGTCTAAAGGGGAAATGCTAATGCTGATTTCAAAAATATGCTTAGAAAGATCAAACTGGAAACTACAATATCTATCAAGCAGCTGACGGACAGCAATCCACACTACTGTCCCAATGTCTATGGTCACCAAAAAGGAAAGCACTGGCAAACTTATTTCTTCAAATATGAATCACAATTTCATTTCAAATCATGATTTGATTTTTTTGTGTGCATGTTATGGGGAGGGAAACTTGAAAACATGGTGACAACTGACAAATTTGATGGGAAAACAGCAAGGGGAAAACAAAGAGATAAACACCTGTATGGCTTGGCTCATGGCCTGTGTGGGACACAAGTGTATATGTGATCTAGGATTCTGATGATCATATGAGATGGCAAACCAGTATCGCCTATGTATACAGGCATTGCACATAAAGATAATGATCAATCCCATGTTTCCAGGTATAGACCACTTTTAGGACACACTTCAGTACCTAATGTGACTTTAGCATCATTGTTTGTTTTTGAAAGACTGTGAAAGTGGCTATTTCACTTTAACATGTTCACCTATTTGCTTAAAATTATAAAAGTAGAGGCTTCTCTTTAACATGACAAAAAGCTGACTGACTACAAGACCAGAATATACAGGACTTCTTTTGTCTCAATCATATGCCTTCAATTGTCTCAAAGTAAGTTCTCTTATTATTTGCTGATGATAGGACAAGTGGTAAATAAACAACAAAAGTACAACCACCAATGGCATGTGTTCTTAAAGAAATCAAATACAGGCAATTGTCTGAAAATTCAATAACATTATATGTATAATTCTTGCCTGATTTTGATCATAAAGTATTTCTTTCATGATGGCAAGCTGTTGCGCCTCTGTTCCTGTCAGTTTATTTTTCTGTTTTTCTGTTAAAAAGATAAACACTTCTAAGCAGCCTTTATAACAGTTGAGAACAATTGATTAACCAACCAATTTTAAAAACAATTTAGCACAATTGATTGACAAGTGGTTTCTTTAAGAAACTGGCAGCTATAACAGTTGAGAACAATTGATTAACCAACCATTTCTAAAACAATTTAGCACAATTTATTTACAAGTGATTTCTTTAAGAAACTGGCAGCTATAACAGTTGAGAACAATTGATTAACCAACCATTTCTAAAACAATTTAGCACAATTGATTTACAAGTGGTTTCTTTAAGAAACTGGCAGCTATAACAGTTGAGAACAATTGATTAACCAACCATTTCTAAAACAATTTAGCACAATTGATTTACAAGTGGTTTCTTTAAGAAACTGGCAGCTATAACAGTTGAGAACAATTGATTAACCAACCATTTCTAAAACAATTTAGCACAATTGATTGACAAGTGGTTTCTTTAAGAAACTGGCATTTATAACAGTTGAGAACAATTGATTAACCAACCCTTTCTAAAACAATTTAGCACAATTGATTGACAAGTGGTTTCTTTAAGAAACTGGCAGCTATAACAGTTGAGAACAATTGATTAACCAACCATTTCTAAAACAATTTAGCACAATTGATTGACAAGTGGTTTCTTCAAGAAACTGGCAGCTATAACAGTTGAGACAATGTATTAATCAGTGTCTTCTAGTACGGTTTAACAAATGTATTAACCAGTGCTTTCTACAACAGTTAAGAAACATATCTCCCTCGACACCTGAAGCAGTAAAAGAGGAAATGAAGAAGAAGAAAGTGGGAGTAAAGGTGTCGTTTTACAAATGAATGATGAGAACAGCAAGGCCAGATAAGAACATCTTCTTCTGCATTTATCCTTTAAAAAGTTGCTGCCACACTGTGTTGTGGTTTACAGCTAGGTTGTGAAATCTGCACATTTTGGTCTTACACATTCTTCAGGAAACTCGTAAACAGTCACCTTTTATGACATGCTTGTTATAGGACAGTGGGTCTGTTCCCCCTACGGGCCCCAATACCCGCAGGGGAAATAATAAAGAAGATGTCTTGAGAGAAATTAACTCTCAAAGAGAACAGAATACTTAAATATTGTCTGGCAGTTACATTCTGTAGTCACCTAATGAGAAAGGTTAGACTGTAATATGTCATGCCAATTGGCGAACTGGAAGGGAGGAAAGGTAGAGGAAAACCAAGAGAAAAGGTGCTGCACAGTTTGAAATCACAACAACGAGGAACATCTGTATCAGAAACTATTGACTGTGAACCAGACAGAAGGATAAACAAGAAAGAAAACTACATCATAACATGGTATGGACTATAAGAAGTTCACTTCACATTTCCTACAGTAAACATAGAATTCATATAAACCGTAGAATTTCTATTCATTTTAATTATTATTCAAGTGTCACTAACATCAAACTTCCTTTAGTGTATGAACTATACAAAAATTTACATGAACCATAGTCCAGTTACTTAGTGATCGGTGCAACCTGAGATTCTGGGTTATATGTTCAGTAAAAAGAATTCAAAGTGAGATTCTTACTGTTGAAAATAATAAATCTGTGACTAGATAACTGTGGGATAAACTAGGACAACCATCAGTTAGGGAGCACAAACTTTTACAAAAAAAACAATTTGTGACTAAACAGTCTAAATACAAAGAATATCGGCAATTTTAGTTATTTCATTTTAATGCATATTTATTATTCATCCATCACAAGTAGAGAGGACCACTGATTCTTTCATATGTCATGAAACTCAAGTTGACTGTCTGTGAGTCCGGAGGTGACTTTTAAGCGTATGGGCCCGAGAGGATCTAGGACAATGAAAGCAGGGAACAGTGTCGGATCTAGTTCAATGAAAGCAGGGAACAGTGTCGGATCTAGGACAATGAAAGCAGGGAACAGTGTCAGATCTAGGACAATAAAGGCAGGGAAGAGTGTTCGTAGATAAAGAGTCTATTATATGATTTTTCTAGCCTGCCTTCACTGTTCAGCTGCCCTTTTTCTAATTGCCTCGCAGGTTGTTGCACCTCTTCAGAATGAAAAAGTGAATTGCATGATGAATTGGTTTAAATTGAGGAAAAGTTGCGCAATTCCGTCAACCTCACTCTCTCACCTGTGTCCATCTGGATCCTGTGGCAGGACAAGTTAAGATGACTAGAGATGAAGTCAGGTGTAAATTCTTTTTTAATAATACCTTATCAAAGAACAAATCTGATTTTTCTACACATTAATTTAGCATTTGAAAATATATTTGTGTGTTGTGTGCATTAGTGTCTATGTAATCAGATAGCAGTCAGTGTCTGTAGCTTAGTCACTGCAAACACGCTTTGTAATGCCAGGGTGCCGGGTTCGATCTTAGCTGCGGACGGTTTGTCCTGCGTTGGTTTTGACAGTGGTACCGATAGCTGACCGTTCAGGAGCAATAGCAAACTACTGAACATAAAATATGCCAAGAAAAACGAAAACAGCCAAAAAATGCTGGTGTTGGTCCTGCAACATCCTGTAAAGGATAGGCAAATAACTTTTTTTTAACACATATAGCAGCATATGGTCAACTCAATCGCATCACTGTAGAAGAATTATGAACCTGTCATCATTATCAAGAAACACAGAAAAACAATGCACAGATGCCTTGTCTCAGTTAACAGTGTCTGTTTACATGCTGAACCTTCTAGGATAATCACAAGGAACTATAACTGCTTCTCAAATAGGCAAGTTGTATGATTCTATGTGACTTCTTCTCACGTTATAACTTTATCAAACTTGATATTTATGCTTTAGGGTTTTAAAAGCAAAGACACAACTAGAAGTACACTGCCTTTCAACTAGGTACACTAACAACATACCTTTGTGTATTTTCTCCAGCTTAACGGATAAGTGGTTCTTTGATTTGAATGCTTCCTTTCTCAGCATCTTCAAGGTTACAAGAACATGTGTAAGTATAAGAGAAATGCAAATATATAAACTTAATCCATTATCAGTTTGCTAAATAAACTAAATACTTTTTAACAACTGACCAGCAGGCAGACAATTTGGTTTCTGCCACTGACTGATCTCATGTTTAGAAGCACATATTATGTGGAACAACAATGAATAAAATATAACTGCAATGCTTATATTTAAATAGAGAATACAAGAAAAAAAATAACTGGGAGACAAATCATTATTAAATGAATTCAAAATTTTACATTTCAGTAAAAGCAAAGTTGAACGATGTCACAATGATAAATTGAAAAATCTCTCTCTCTCTCTCTCTCTCTCTAATACACACACACACACACAAAGGAGGACAATATGCACAAATAAATAACACAACAAAGAACATAAATAAAATGCAACAAACATGTTTCTCATATTCACTGACATGAAGTAATCATTATTCCTGACACTGAAAAGGTTTCATATATCACAGATAACTGAGCATACAGCTATGCTTACAATCTCTTCCGGGGTAGCCTTGAGCACTGTCAAATCTTGAACTGTGTCCTGAAATAAACACCAGCAATAATAAACAGATGTAGACCACAGCAAGAAGAACATAAACTGACTGACAATAAACACAGACTGCAATAACTGAAGAGTTAGCCATGCAGAACTACCAACTCATATATCATGAAATATTTTCAATTAAGCTCTAAAGCACAGTTAAATCTTTCATGAATGAGCAGAATTAGATAAAACAGACTTTGGAATCAATAAGCTTAAAAGGAATCAAATCCAAAATATATAAATCTAGAATATCTCTCTTCTATTCATGGTATAAACAGCATTTTACTCAAACTTGCAATTTCAGTAGCATATAAGGATCCTGATAGTTTACACAATACTTTATATTTCTTATGATATAAAATATTACATTAAAACCTTATTAATGCAAAATTCAAAAGACAAAATCAAGAGCTCTTGTTTAAAACAAAACGTGTGTTAACGGGAGGGGGATGGGGGAGGGGTGGGGAGAGAACTAATCATCATCATTCCTGGTTGCCTGGATCAGCTCTCTTGATGATATCCGTCCATGCCATCGTTTCAGCCCATCCAGCATCATCTCTCTTGGTCTGCCTCCACCCCTTTTTCCACGGATTTTTCTAGTTGTCACAGTGTTCTCCAATGTCTCTCTTCTCTTTTTGTGGCCAAAGAACAGTGTTTGTCTCTTTCTTATTGCTCTATATAGAGATCTACTTTCATCAGCTTTTGTCAAACAATCGTTGTTAGTTATTCTGGCTGTCCAAAGTATTCGTAACATTCGTCTCAGAAACCACATCTCTGTGGCTTCCAAATTTTTCCTAATTTGTTCACTGACATTCCAAGATTGGCTGCCATACAGTAGAAAAGGTTCTATGAAACATTTTAGCACTTTTTTTCTGACATTAAACTAGAGCGATTTATTGCATAAGATATTTTTCATTTCAGAAATGCAGCGTTTGCTTGACCTATTCTGCTTTTAATCTCTGTCACACATTTTCCATCGGATGATATGATTGTTCCCAGATATCTGAATTGATTAACTTGGTAAAGTCTTTTTCCTTCAATTGAGATATCACAATGTGGAGTTATCTTCTTCTTTGATATATCCATTATTTCTGTTTTTTCTTAATATTCAATGAAAGTCCTTTCTTAGCACTCTCCACCCCCACAATATCCAGCAGTTGTTGTAAATCACTTTTTTCAGCTATCAAAAACTCTTATTATCTGCATAATGTATATTGTATCCTCCAACTCTTATTACTGCTTTCTCTTTAATTTCCCTCAAAGTTATTTCACTATATAGAGAGAAAAGGTCTGGGGATAAGACACATCCCTCTTACTCCTTGCTTTATATGTTTAAAAGTACCCAAACTGTTTCACACTTTAATTGCTGCTACTTGGTTCCAGTAAGTGTTTAATTATTATGAGATCTTTTCTGTCTACACTGATGCTTCCAACATTTTTATCATCTCTTAATGTTTAACTTTGTCAAATGCTTTGGTATAATGTATAAAGCACAAATATAAGTCCTTTTGTATGTCATCTGATCTTTTTTATCAATGTTCGTAATATGTATATTGCATTACTTGTCCCCTTTACCTTCCATAAATCCATACTGCTCTTCACTCATTTCCATTCTTATTTTTCTTTATCTTCTTCTCATCATAATTCTAAGCAGTAACTTTGTGACATGATTTATTAAGTTGATTGTACGAAATTCTTCACATTCAATTCCTCCTAGTCTTTTGGGTAATGCAATAAATACAGATTTCATCATATCACTTGGTATGTCCCCAGTGTTATAAATGTCATTCATCAGTTTAGTTAATATTTCTACCCCAAATTCCCCCAGTACTTCTAATTTTTCTAGCAAAATTTCATCTGGCCCAGTTGACTTTCCTTTCTTCAAATGCTTAATAGCATGGCTAACTTCTTCCTTTAGTATAGGCGACCTTCTAAATTTCTTTCCTCTGGTAGTTCTGCTCTTTTTCCATCACATAACTCTCTTATGTATTCATTCCATCTAGTTATTATATCATTTTCCTCCATAAAGATCTCTCCTGCTTTTGATTTCAGACATCCTGTGTTTACTCATACCTTTCTTCCAGTTAGTTAATTTGTTTGTGCCCACTTTTTGTATCTTTAACAGGACTGTGTTCAATTTTATTGCATTGTTTATTTAGCCACTCTTCTTTTGCATTTATACACTTATGCCTTATTTCTTTATTTATCTTGTCATATTCTTCTGTCATTCATTCATTGTTTTCTGTAACTCATTAAATTTAAAATTTCTGTGGTCATCCAATTCTGTTTAGCTTTTTGTCTTCTTTCTGGTAAAATCTCTTTGCTTGTTTGGTGGGTAGACTCCTTCAGTATTTCCTACTGATCGTTTATTGTTTTTTTATTTCTTGGTATTGCATTGTATCTGTTGCCACTCACACAAAAAACGTGCACATTGTCAAAATGTTTCTCCTGTTGTTGTTTTTTTAATTTGTGGCATAAGTTCTTCATGCTGTTTAACCTCTATTTTGCTATGGCTAGACTCTACAGATGGTAAATAGAACATAAAATTGACTAGCAAAATGTAAAGCAATTTAATGTTAGTCCGAAAAGAATAAATGACCTGTATGAAGTAAGCAAGACTCACAGAACATTAAATCTGAGAAAGGGGGATGCAAACTGGAATTGACTTTTACATTATGGTCTTTAGAAATACTTTTAAAATGTATTGAAATGAATACAGAAAAATTGTAAAAAAGAAACTAAACAACTATTTACATCCCAAGCAGGCTTTTTCCGTGATGAAATTCTCTTCTTTCTATTCTGTCCAATTCTGTAGAATGACATGGTGTTGGATCAGTTAGTATCTGGCTTGTGATAACTTTAAATCAACTAAGTGGTCTTCTTTGTACATCTAGTCTGCCTCACCGTTAATGGTCTGCGGAAATAAAGAGTTTCATAAACATAAAAGAATGTCTTTAAAGCAGAGGAGTTTACAAAGTAGTGACAAGTCTGGGCAAACTCTGAACATGTATGACGCAATCTGTAAGATACTAAAGATAAGACATTTTACGACATATGGGAAGTATACTTTATTATGACCCAATTATAATCCAATAAGGGTTAAACAGGACAATAATAAATACATTAGTACATAAAAAATCATTACAAATTACAAGAAATAAAGGGAGAATGTTTAATCCGTTCCAATGAGAAACTTTTTGTTGCTACTTACTTAGTCGCTCCTCTTCTAACATGTGGTGTAGAGCTTTGCCAGAGAGATCGCCAGACTTCTCTATCAGCAATTTTATTTCTGGCTGTGTTCCATTCCAGCCATCTGTCAGTGTCAGGGACTGTCGGATGTTGCCTTCCCAATGCACCCTGGGTCTAAATAGAGGTCTGGTTCTTAGCCTCCCATGTCTGCCATGGTGGCAGATGTTCTCCCATTCTGCATACATGTCCAAACCATCATAACTATGACTGATCCACTCGAGCCTGTAAGGCCTGGGTTTCAAGATCCTGACGTACTGTCTGACTGCGGACTTTGTCCCTTCTTGTCACCTGGACCACCTTTCTCATATATCTCATTTCCGAGGTCTGAAGATGGTTTCTGTAAGCTGTTGTCATTGCCCATGACTCACACCCATATGTCAGGACTGGCACATAGATACAGCGGTAAACAGCCAGTTTCATCCTCTTGGCAATTTCTTTTGTGTGTGTGTGCTAAGAAACCCTCGGTTTATGGCTTGGAAGAATCTCCCAGCAGCTGTTTTTCGTGTAGCCAGCTCGGTCTTAGTGTCTATGTTTTGGTCTATTTTAACTCTAAGGTATTTGAATTGGCTGACCTGCTCCAATGCATACTGTCCCATCATCATTTTCTTCTTCTTCGCGTTCACCGGCTGTAAACTCCAGTGGAAAGTTCTGGTTGTTCGTCCACCTCTGGACATTAGTCTTGTTTCAGAACCTGTGAGTAGTATGCGTATTCGTTAAACAGATCACACTTAATTGTATGCAGATTACTGGTTCTTTTGCCTCTCAGGAAGATGCACTCTGACTTTGAAGGCAGTCCCCAATTAGTTGACTCTTACGACATGCTTGTTGGGGAGGCAGTGGGTCTATTCTTGTTTTCCCCACAACAGGGCCTCGGAACCCACATGGGGAACCATCCCATCATGATCTGGTGTTTCTTCTCCTCTTTTGAGATCACTATGGTTTTTGTTTTGGAGATACTGATGGTCATCTCTCTCTTTTCAAGCTCTTCCTTCCAGACAAGTGAGTTGGATTGAAGGTGTGCCTCTGATTTAGCTATCAGGGCCACATCATCTGCAAAAGCCAGCTCTGATATACAGATTGGTCTCATCTTCCAGTATCCTGTTGAGTACTTCTTTGTCTTCTCCTTATAGGTCTTGAGGATATCATCCATCATAAGAATGAAGAGGTAAGGTGAG